AGAGAAACCCTGTCTCGAAAAACCAAAAAAAAAAAAAAAAAAAAAAGAAGGATTAGGGGGTGTGGCCTTGTTGGAAGAAGTGTGTCACTGTACTGGACTTTGAGGTTTCTAAAGCCCACACCAGGTCCAGTCCCCTCTTTCTCTCTCTCTCTCTCTGTCTGTCTGTCTCTGTCTCTATCTCTTTGTCTCTGTCTCGGGGTATGTGTTTGTCTGTCTGTCAGTCTGTCTTCAGATCAGGATGTAGCTCCCAACTATTGCTCCAGTACCATGTTTGCCATGCTCCCCACCATGATGATAATGGACTAACCCTCTGAAACTGTAAGCCAGTCCCCAATTAAATGCTTTATTTTATAAGAGCTGCCTTGGTCATGATGTCTCTTCACAGCAATAGAATAGTAATGAAGACACTCCATTTCGGGGGCCCTTGATCCCTTCCCTACCCCTGTTTGCATCAGTCAGCTAGTGATGGATTACTCTCTAATTGCAAATGAGCTGACCAGTCGCAGCTCCCACCCACCTCTCCAGTGGCAGCAACAGCTTCCAGGGAAAGGCCTTTGAGAATCCAAGCATCTCATTTGCTCCACAGATGAAGAGTTGTTCCACTTCTTTGATGGCAGGCCCTGTTCCAGACCTGTTTTGAGAAAGGCCACTTTACCACCAGCTTCATGGAGACCCAAGCCTGAGGGAACAAATGAAATCTGCTCTGGTAATAACCGCTGTTGTTGGAACTGAGGGTGCACACATTAATTTTCAGGATCTTCAGGCAGATGCTATGGAAAGACCTTTATTTTTGTTTTTATTTACTTTCTATGTGTGAGTGTTTGCCTGCATGCATGTATACCACGTGAATGCTTGGTACCCGCCAAGGCCTATAATGACACACCTTGCCCTGGCTGATATGCGCCCCAGGAGGAACATACCACCACAAGCATATATTGACTCAAAGCTAGGATGGGAGACACCCTGTGCACAGTGAAAATGCGTCTTCCTCTGGGGCTGGGTAGGCCGACCTCAGCGGAGAGGAATTCCACAGGCAGTGTGCATTTCTGTACAGTCAGATGATCTTCAGTTAGCTCATTATCTCTCTGGGCTTCAGCCTGTGTTGACATCCATTTACATCCAGTGAAGGAAGATTTTGAAGAACCTTGAGGGTCTAGTCAGAGAGTTTAGGTTGAGTCTGCTACAGAGCAGGAGCTGCTGAAGGCAGCTTGAACAGTAAAGAAATCAAAAAGGGAAAAAATGAAGCAGGCCACCTGTGCAGAGAGACTCACATCATTCCATGTGGTTTAGTGCTGACAATTAAGGCTTATGCAAATCAGATCTAATCAGACCTAGCTCAAAAACATTTCATGGCTCCCAGCAGCCTACAAGCAAACCCTTTCTTTCTCCCCTCCCTTCCCCCGAGACAGGGTTTCTCTGTCTAACTTTGTAGACCAAGCTGGCCTCTAACTCACAGAAATCCACCTGCCTCTGCCTCCCAAGTGCTGGGATTAAAGGCATGAATATTTATTTATTTATTTATTTATCTGTGTTTTTATTTACTTATTTCATTTGTTTTTCAAGACAGGGTTTCTCTGTAGCCCTGGCTGTCCTGAAACTCACTCTGTAGATCAGTCTGGCCTCTAACTCACAAAGATCCACCTGCCTCTGCCTCCTGAGTGCTGGGATTAAAGGAATGCACCACCACCACCTGGCCTAAAAACTCTTTTTTTCTAATCTCTGTCCAGACAGGACTGGCTTCAAGGCTGTGCAGATCACAGACCCAACACAAGTTATCTCTCTGTTCTTCCATCTTGGAATTCTTACTATCTTTATTTAACTCATTTATTCAGCTAATGTGTTTGTGAATGGTGTGTAGGGAGGAGTCAGAGCACAATCTGGGAAGAAGTTCTCTTCTTCCACCACAGGGATTCTGGAAGTCAGAACTCAGGTCATTAGACTTGGCAGCAAGCCTGTTGAGCCATCTTGTGGACCCAGATTTTTAGCTTTCTGAACTAAGATCACCATGCTTTGTAGGCAGCCCTACCTGCAGGGGCTGTTCAGTCCAACCCCTGCCCTCATCGCTCCTACCCACTTCTCTCTCACCCTTTGAACTCAGAGAAAAAAGAGGTAATGTCTTATTAGTATTTATTGCTGTGAGGAAACACCAGCCCAAAAGCAAGTTGGGGGAGGAAAGTATTTGGATTACACTTCCACATCATAGTTCATCACTGAAGGAAGTCAGGACAGGAATTCAAACGGCAGGAGCCCAGAGGCAGGAGCTGATGCAGAGGCCATGGAGGGGAGCTTACTTACTGGCTTGCTCCCCTGGCTTACTCGCCCTGCTTTCTTATGAAAGACCCCTAGAACCCAGGACCAGCATCCCAGGGATGACACCACCCACAATGGGCTGGGCCCTCCCCAATAAATCACTAATTAAGAAAATGCCCTACAGATTTGCCTTCAGCATGATCTTATGAAGTAATTTTCTCAGTTGAGGTTCCCTGCTGTCAGATGACTTTAGCTTGCATCAAGTTGACATAAAAACTAGCCAGTATGAGTAGGATCCTAGTCTTGACTTAGAGATAGAGGGCACCAGGCAGGAAGGAAAGTGACGAAGGCTCACTTCCCTGAGCTCCTTTCAGAGTATGACGCTCAGTATGTCAGCTTCCTCTGAGACAGTGTGGCAACCAGCTTCCAAATGGCTTGGGTCGGTGGTTGAAAAATCCATCTGATGCAGACAGCTGGCGCTTCCATTGCCCAGACAAGGTTGGAGACCTGGTAAGGAGAAAATCCTGCTTTACAACCTAAAGACCAGCCTCTCTCCATACACCTGTAGATATTATAAGAAAACAGAAAGGACAAGGAGGACTAACTATTCTGCCTAATGAGATATGTATTTACTGCAAAGGCCTCTCCTTCAAAGACCTCTCCCTCAATACAGGCACTTGCAGACTCTCACTGCGGAGCCTGCCCTCCTGTCCTCCATTTCTGAATTCAAGGCCAGCCTGGTCTACAGACAGAGTTCCAGGACAGCCAGCTACACAGAGAAACCCTGTTCAAAAACCTAAACAAACAAATAAAATCGGCAGGAAACACGGGGTCATCACTACAGCCATCTCCATGGCTGTGTGTTCTGCCACCCAGCCGTGGTTCTGAGTCCTGAATCTACCTGTTTCATAACTGGCTGGCAGCCGGGCGTTGGTGGCGCACGCCTTTAATCCCAGCACTCGGGAGGCAGAGGCAAGTGGATCTCTGTGAGTTCGAGGCCAGCCTGGTCTACAAGAGCTAGTTCCAGGACAGCCTCCAAAGCCACAGAGAAACCCTGTCTCGGAAAACCAAAAAAAAAAAAAAAAAAAAAAAAACCAACAACAACAACAACAAATAACTGGCTGGCAGCTTGGTGTGCCATGAATGCACCAGGATATCCTAGGCATACATGGACAAGTTGAAGAGCTACACAGAGAAACCAATAAACTATGAAAGCTGGGAGATGCCAATGCACGAGCCATGTGGATGGCTGACTGATTCACAGAGAAGGACTTGATCCCAATGCTGTTTAAAATACTGCCTCTAGGGCTAGAAAAAAAGCTCAGAGGTTTGGAGCACTTGTTCTTGTGGAGGACCTGGGTTCTATTCCCAGCACCCAAATGGCTGCTCACAACCACCTGTAACTCCAGCTCCAGGGGATCTGTTGCCCTCTTCTGGCCTCCTGGGGCACTGCACGCACGCATAGTGCACAGACATACATGCAGGCTAAACACCAATACATAAAAAAATAGAAAAAATTTAAAAATGAAGTACTGGCCCCTAGGTTCCTAGGTCAGATTGAGGGCTGCATGAGAGTGTTGCAAATCCCATATCACATGAACAAGACTGGACCAAGAGGGCACTGATGGAGTGTGAATGTAACCGCCTCCCTTCCTGCGCCTGCTTCATAGAACCCGCAGCCTTGTCGTCTTGTGCCAGACTTACCTAGCTGGAGAGTGGATGGCCTGGTCAGTGACCATGAACTCAGGCCTTTGGAGCTCTTCCAATGGATGAAAAGAACCAGAACAAGAATTGTAAAACAGAAGGTAAAATGAACAGTACTATCAGCAGCCACTATTCCACAGGGAGACTAAAGGCATTTGTCAGGGTCACACAGCATGAGGCTTGTCTTATATCCCAGAAGGTAAGGTATTGATGTCAGAATCATCCTGGGTTTGGGTCCCAACTCTCAGAACCATAGCTGTGTCCCCTTGGGCAAGTAACTCTTTTTTCTGATCCTTATTAATTACATGTATTAACAACTTAGAGCCTATCTCTAATGCTGTGGGATTTTGATTGGAAATTGCTTAGCATGGCTGTGGGCAATAAATACCCTTGCTTCTGCTTAGCACAGGACTCAGAGGGACACAGCAACTTCTGGCTGCCACATTTAGTTGTCATCAGGAGCAAGTTGCTTAACTGTGGCTCCCAGTCACTCAGTCCATCAAAAGGACTCACAATAGCCTTATCCCACTGAGTGGTCATGAGGACTCACAATAGCCTTATCCCACTGAGTGGTCATGAGGAATCAGCGGAGTTACTATGGGCTGAAATTTGATTTTCCCATAAGCACTTTCTATATTTTTAAGGTTCCGAAGTCTATCAAGGCCAGCATGAGATGATGGGGCCCCAGCCTCCCACTGGCTATAGCTCCGGCATTGCCTCGTCTGCCATTGGGCTATTATTAGGCTCAAAGTCTTCATCTTAAATCCAGATGGAGAGTGAGAGGAGCAGGCAGGGCCTGGGCTGGCAAACGAATGGCTGGGAACACAGGAGCATGGTTGGGAGGCTGGATGTGGGTTTGGGCTCCACCCTGCCTGCAGCTGGTCCAGCAGCCACGTCTACACTTGGCTCTGAGTTGGTGCTAAGCGATCCCTCCCACCACGCTGCCTCCTATGGGAAGGTTCAGAGGCCCTTCTGCAGTTTTTTTTCCTGCCAGCCCCCAAAGGCCCAGACCTGCACAGAAGCTCCCAGTCTAAACCACTTGCCTCCAGAGCTTGCAAGGCAACCGTCTGCCTTCCCATGTATGGCTCTTCACCCATCCGTTAAAGGTTCGTGGATCTGCTGAAGGAGAAAACCCACACATCTGCTTTCAAACGCCGGTCCTCCATCAGCTTGCTATGTCAAATTGGATAAGGATCTTCCAGTCTCTAAACTTCAGTTGTTTTTGTTCTGTAAAATGGACATATATCCCAGCACCTACTTGACAGAACTGTATCCAGGCTTAAACAACTAAAGAGTACACAGTAGGTGCTCAATACGTGCCAGGATTGATGTTATTTTGTGTGGTGGGCGGATCAGATCCTGAAAAACAGAAAGAAGGTAGTTAGGAAGCTAGGGTCTATAGTGGTTCTACTCTAGACTTGCTGTGTGACTTGAAGTCTGTTCCTTGCTCTCTCTGGGACTCAGGTTACCTACCTGTATCATGAAGTGCACATCTAGAACTTTGGGATGGTGAGACCCAGCTCCTGCACTCATAAGCAGCAAGAGAATTAGTTTTAAAAATCTGACAAAGTATCACATGGGCCAGCCTCCCAAAAGGCGGCTGATTAGTGATTAGGAGCGAGGGACTAAGTTTGAGTGTCGGAGGACTTAGCCTCGTTGGGACCACTTCATCTCTGCAACAGTGCCGTCTTATAGGACTCAAGCTTCAAGGGCCCTTATGATATAACTGCCCCACATGTATCTCAGACCAGGGTCCAAATCGTATGTGTCACGATGAACCCTCCTTCTCTCAGCATGAGGAACCCCTTAATAGGCCTAAGAGGTCCTGGCTGGCCCCCATGAAGCCCTCCCCTTTGTCTCTGGGGCTGTTCTTCTGAGGTCCATTCTGCCCAGGAGGTGTTTCACAGCTCCTCCTCTCCTCCAAGGACAGAAGTTTGTCAAACACAGTTGCCCAGAGACACAACAGCTAGATGACATCATGGATGTGAAGACCTTGACAAACTGGTTTGAGGAACGGGTCATCAGTGCTGCTCCTCAACCTGCTGGCTGGGACCTTGGGGGCCTCCAGCTCCACCCAGGAAGCGGGAGGGCCCAGACGGCCCCATCACGGTCTCTGGGAGCCTTGGTCCATCCAGCCTTATTTGCCAGACTGGTCCCTTTTGGTCTCCTTGCTTTCGCTCACTGTTCTCACCGTCTGCAAGCCGCCTTTCCTCCGTCTCCTGGCACCAAGCTAAGCTTCGCTCTCGGCAGCCTTGGGGATCTGGGTCCCTTCTCGCCCCCTGCTTCTGCTGGGCCATCATTCATACACTGCCCCTCACGCCCCAATTCTTTCTGTTGCTTGACAGACTCCTAGACCACCTCACACTCCAGGGGTCAGGCCTCAGCCTCAGCTAGCCTTATAGCCTAAGGTTAAGATCTTCCTGAATGACTTGAGAGTTTACATTGTCCAGACTGGGCAGGGTGTTTAAGGAGCTCCCCCAAAATCACCTCCATTGGGCAGAGAAAGAAACTGAGGCTCTGAGGGACCTGTGGCCTTGAACGGGGCAGAGCCAAGACCAGAAAACATAACTTTTCTCGCCTCTTGCTAGGCCCCAGGTGTGGTGAGGGGTGCGGGAGAGAAGCCAGCGTGAGTCAGGGAACACAGTGCTGCCAGCTTGGTAAAAATCATCATTTTTGGACTTGGGCTTTGGAGCAAAATATTACCCTTGGCCCATGGGCTGTTTCAGCCACTCCTCCCCAACTCGGCCAGGAGGGGGCTGGATGTGGAAGAATCTAGAGCCTTCCTGTTATAGCAGTTTGGAGGACTGGGAGCCAGCCAGTCAGTCCTGTGGTTTTTTTTTTTTTTTCTTCAAATGAACAGTTAGAAACTTGGGCCTCCCAGGTGTCCTCAGAACGCGTGCGTCCTTCTCACCTGGCGCTCAGGCCTCTTTACCCTTAGTTCCTACTCTACCTACAGCCACTTCACCTACTTTTCTTGCTCACAAGCCTTTGCTCATACATGTTCTCTTCCAAAAAACATCCTTCCATCGGATGAGTTTCTTTGTACTCATCTTCAATAACATTTAGTACATCACCACCTCTGAGAAGCCCTCCATGATTTCTTCCATCTTAGAAACAACAAGGTTAGGAGAGGTGTTTTGGCACTGGGCAGAGTTCTACCGGGATGCGGTCTTTGCCTCCCTGGGTTTCGGCTTTCTCTTTGTAGTGCCGGGCTATCTCACACAGTAGTTATCTTGGTGATCTGAGGAATGCCTGCCCGGCACTCCACTTCCCTGCCTCTGGTTATAAAGCTCCTCACCACCTTCCCTGGGTCGCCCTCTGATTCCCAGATCACCATCACCACCACCAGACACCCCCTTGCGTGGCACCATCCCTTGCAAGAAGGAAGAAAGAGAGGCGGGGTGGGTCAGCCTGGAGGCGGGCCGGGGCTTGACAGGCCTAGGCCAGGGAGCACAAGCTCTAAACAGCAGTCAGGGCAATAGCGCCCGCCGAGCAGGCGGTTCACGGGAGCAATCAGCTCCCACTCAAGCAGATCGCAGACTTAGGTGTGTCCAGAGGGAAGGGCCAGTCCCCAGGGATGCAACGCTTTCAGTCCTCCTGACCTGGCCTTGGATCTAGAGAGTTAGCTGGCATCTGGGCCCGGTGGAGAGGGCTCGGAACGCGAGCCTCCCCGCTGGGCACTTCTTCTGCCTGACCCGCAAGCGGCTTCCTTCTCTCGGTCTCATTTCCCAGTATATAAGGCGAGAGGACCACTTCTTGAGGGGTGGGAGGTAACGACTCTGGGAATATCACAGGGACTCTCTTTAGGTGTGTACAGGGTGGTCTTGGAGAAATCTGACCAGGAGCTCTTCGAGACAACAGGACCCCCCGCAGCTCCCGCAATTCCACGTTATAGAGGTCAGAAGGACAGATCAGAATCAAGGCTAGGTGTTATGAACTGCAACTCCGTTACCTATAGGCTTTGTTCTCATCTGTATAATGGGACAACTCAAATCTCATTTAGTTGTTATGGATATTAAAATCTGGTGCATGACACACACAATAAATAAATTGGTGCTTTTATAGTTTTTATTTGGCTTACAGTTTTTACTTATCAAGCAGGATTCCAGACTCTTTCTGGCCAGGCTCCACCCCATTTTGGTCTCCACCAAGACCGGTAGGGCGGCTCCACAGCCTCCAGGGCCGGACGTGCGGGCTGGCTTTCTCTACTGGGTCTGAGCTCTTGGGTCTTCTGACTGACTCCTTATTTGATGTTGGGAATATTTGGCTCTTTGGGGACTTCTGATTTCGCTGTTTCTTGAGGGATGTGAAGTTCATAGTCCCTGTTTAGGTCTACTCTGCTCCCAGAGGCAGACTTTAAAGAGTTTGAGAGAGCATGCTGTTATGTGCAGGGGAAGACATACTACCGACATGTCGATCCTGTTCCGTCTCAGGGGGTCCTTGGCGACTCGGCACAAGGTCAAGATGCTGCTGGTCACCCAGTGCTTTCCCTGGGACGGCAAAGACCAGCTGTCGCGAAAGCGCTCTGTGAGCCTCGGCGGAGCAAGCCTGTGTACTGGAGCCAGGAGTGGGTGGAGCCCGGAGAAAGGATGTGGTCTCGGGAACAAAGAGGGAGGGGAGGGGCTGTCCGGACCTCTGGGGGCTTACATGATCCCGGGCTGTTTGCCCGCCTTGTGGCACCCTCCTGGACTTCGGCTTCGAGCCTGCGTCCTGCCGAAGCCCACCCGAGGAGGTCAAGGACACCGCGGCAGAAGCCCCAAAGACTACAATACCCAACATTCCAGGACAGTGTGGGGCTGGAGTTTAGTGGGGGCGGGACCTAAAAAATTGAATTTTCCCAATAGGACCCAAGCAGGGGCAGGACCCAACAGGGAATTGGCTGGGACGGCTTGTTAGGGCGGGGCCATCCAGCTGGCTGGCGCCGCGGGACAAGCGTCTGCCGCAGAGTCCAGGGGACGTTGCTGAACCGGCTTGGGATCCCGGGCTGCGGTGCCTCCCGCCCGCCCGCCTGTCTTCTCTGCGTCTGCCGGGTCACGATCAAACTAACAGGAACCCGCACGGAAGAAAGGGTCGGACTGAGAGGTGGGTGTGAGTGTCTCGGGGAGACCCTAGGAGCCAAGATGAGTCCGGAGGGTGGGGTGGTGAAACCAGGGTATCTAGACAGGGATTCTGGAACTCCCGGGTCCCGAAGCCCCAGCCAAATTACGGGAGCTTCAAGTCACAGGATTAAGGTTCCGAGACCTTGGTGAAGGCACCTACGGACCTCGAAAAGGCTCCACGATCCCCAGAGACACTAATCTGTGGGGAACTGATACCTTCAGGAAGCTTTCCCAGGTCTGACCCCACTCCCACAGGGCCGTAACAGTCTCCAGGACCTCAAACTGTAGCATGAAGCCATGGGATTTCTGTGCAGAGTGGTACTAGAACACCCTTGCCTACATGAGGGAGCACAGTATGTCCACAATATCTAAGACTGGTGACCATTAAATGACACTGGGGAGGAGGAGTTGCCCAAGAAAGAGTAGCTAGATCAGGAGGCAAAGACCCTCAGAATGGTTGGCGAGCTCGAAGCAGTAACTGAACAGACCGGGTTCTTCAAACTCCAATCAGCGTGCATTGGGGCTCCCCCAGACCCATTCACCGGATGGGGTGACTCACACTAAGTGAGTGTTGTAGAGAGAAGGGATGATTTCGGCATGAATCAAAGGAGGTGGGGGTCCTGAGGCCATTTCAGTCACCATATTAACTAAACACCCAGGTGTGCTAGGCCTTGGATCGTCTAGTTCCAGGGACTCCCAGGTTCCAGGAAGGAGGGTTGGGCTAGAAAACTGACAACAGATTTAGGGATCCGTTTTGATGGGCAGTGACTGGACAGGAAACAAACATCCTGGAGTCTTGGTGGCATTCTGGGGAGGGTCTTCAGAAGGCAGAAGTAACCAGGAATCGCATCAGACTTCCTGCCCTTGGAGTCTGAGCTTCACTGCCCCCATGATGAATCTTTGAGTTTGACTGAAGTCCGGAGGTTGGGTGGGTCAGCTGGGAAGTGAATTGTAAGTGACAGGGAGAGCTGGACACTGGCTGGTGTCACAGGGAGGAAAGAAGGATGGATATGCACAGAAGGCTGGCTGTGAGACAAGACACAAGTAGCTCCCTGTACCTACGGGATGAGTGACAGTAGCAGCAAGGCTCGGACATGGGCTCAACCCACAGCCCAAGCCCGGCTTGTGGAGAAAGGGCAGGTAGAGGGTAGGCTGGGCAAGCCTAAAGATGAGTGGCTGTGACAGGAAGCTAAAGAATGGCTTGCACCCCCTGGTGGTAAACAGCTTGGGTGGACCTTGCTGATTCCTTTTCTCAATCCAGGGCCATGCCCTCCTTGTTTGGGGCTTAGTCAGGATGCCAGCTTAGACCACAGAGCAGCCTGGCAGCCAATGGTAAGGCTGGAACAGGAACACCTACCTATTCTTGGCTAGTGAATTTTCAGCATGGCAGGGTAGGATAGGACAGAAACAAATTCTCATGGGCTGGAGAGGGAAACCAGCATAAAACCCAAGGGACTGAGGTGTCTACAAGCTCCAGCAATCTAACTCATGTCTGCCTCTTGCAGAAGCCCCTGAGTGCCACCAGGAGCTGACACAGTTAAGGAACTAGAGGCCAGCATGATGGCAGATGAGGCCTTAGCTGGGCTGGATGAGGGAGCCCTCCGAAAACTGGTAAGTAGCCCTGTCACTGTACTATGGGGTGGGCAAGAGCCAACCCAGGGATATAGGGCCCCTGCTTCTGTACGCTCCAGCACTTAAGAAGAGGGAGGGGTTAGGAGGAGAGGTGAATGGAAACAGCGCCAGGCTGGTTCCATTTGGCTGATCCAGAGGCCCTTGTGGCATGCGCCTGTCCGTGTTCGGTGCTGAGGCCTGGCCCCTACCCACCCCCAACTGTCATCTCCTGTTTAAACAGTAACTTCTGGGGACTCACCCATGGGCTACAGGTGTGGGGAGCCTGGGATTGCCTCTCCCCAGCAGCCTGGGCACTGCCCATCCCTGGAAACCTGCCCAACGGTAATGGTACAGCAACGATTGGTAAAGGGGAGCGCAGCAGTAAGGGTGCCGTGCACACCATCTTACAGAGTGCTCACACCTGCTCCAAGAGCCAGGACAGTGCCGCTCTGTGTGGTGAAATCACATGCCCCAACCCTCCAGGCTAAAAGCTTTACCAGGGTCCAAACTCCAGAGGGGATCTTGGGATACCCAGAGTCTGAAAGAACCACGAGAGAGACAGACTGTGTGCCCTTATGGGTTCTGTGATGTCTAATGCGTCGCTTGCTTTCTTCTTTAAGCCTTTAAGGTGGGGGTGGGGTGCTAGTGTCAGCATAGGGGTTAAACAAGGTATGGGCCTAACTTGAGGCTCACCTTCTTCCTGCTCCCGTGTACAGACAGGCAGTGGACAGCACAGCAGGCCAGTAGTGTGCCCGCAGGCCATGCAGTAGCCGACGGGGAGGGGAAGGGGGGCAGAGCCCCATCATCCAGGCCAAAAAAAGTAGAGATTTACTTTCTCAACAGTGTCCCACACCACCAACACTCGTTGCCCCTAAAGGCAGAGGCCGGGGCCACTTGGCCTAGTTGCCTTGATCTCCCCCAGGCAGTTGGCCTGTGTGTCCTGGGGCCAGCCCCTTAACCTTATCTTGAGTTCACCGCTGCCACTGGAGATGGGGTTGGGTCTCCCCGCCCACCAGCCGTCTTCACCACCCTATCTTGAGTTCACCGCAGCCACTGGAGATGGGGTTGGGTCTCCCCGCCCACCAGCCGTCTTCACCACCCCTCAAGAAGTCAGTGTCCTCTTGAGGCTCGCAGACTCGGCAACGTTTTCCAGCGGGAAAGCCAGGCTGGGTGTCCACGCACTCTTAATCTCGGGGATTCTCCAGTGTCAGACCCCACTCACGCAAGGTTTGGGAGCTGGAAAAAGTGAGACAGAAGAAACAGAAGCAACGGTTGATGGAGGTACTTCCTCCAAGCCCCGGGGCCTAGGAGGAAAGGACAGCGAGACCAAATCCCGTCTCGGATCCGCAGCCCCAGGCTCACACCCCAGCCCTGCGGTTCCACCGCTCCGCGCCCGCCATGGCTGCGCCCCAGAGCTATGAGGGTCCCACCCTCCGGCCTCGTGGCAGGAACGGGGGCGTCCCAAGCCCGGCTCCTCCCCGCGGGGCCCGGCCTTATATGGGAAAGCTGTGCCCAGCTGACTCGGGGAGCCGCAACTGCTTCCGGCCCCTCTCCCGCACATTCCTGAGGCAGGGGTGGTGGGCTGTGCGGGACAAGGGTACCCGGGGATAAGCACGCCGCGTGTGCTCCTTGCCACGTGTCTGCATGCCTTCTAACTCCCGGCCGTGTGACCAAGGGAAGCAGCTTAGGTGCTGTGAACCTCCCTTCCTTTGCAGATGGGACGTTAAAGCGGCGGTAGCTGGGGGCTTCCTGCCGGGCTCCTAGCAGCGACGCCTGGCTGGAATCTGGGTGGGTGGGGCGTGGGCGAGCCCCGCGCTAGTGGCCGCAGAGTGCGGGCCTTGAGCGCCCCCTGGCGAGGCAATCCCCCATTGCTCTCACTGCGGGTTGCTCTGATCCTGGGATTGAGGAGAATCGCTTCTTGGACAGGTGGAGAAACGGAAATTACAGAGACTCTGGCTTGGCCAGACGCCCCAGCAGCAAGAGTAGAAAGCGCCGGAGCCCCAGTCCCCCCCTTGCCCCCAACCTCTAGCCTCCCGCAGGAGGAGGAAGCACCCTCTTTCCTCCCAGGAGAATTTCACTAGGCAGTTTCGGAAACCGTCCCCTTCCCCCTGGTGGACAACAGCTCTTTGTATTTCCTTCCCTCCCTTGCACAGTCCCCTCCACACACATTGAGGGTGACAGAGGGTGGGGAACTCTGGACACAGTAGGAACACTGTAATCTGACCTTTGGTGTTTGGGAGGGTGGGGAACACAAGACACACTGCAGGGACACTGGCCAGAGCTTTGCCCACAGTCCCACAAGGAAGGACCGTGCCAGGGAGTGGCCAGCAGAATGAGGTCCATCTCTCAGCCACCCATCCACTTAGGGGATTCAGAGGGAGGATCCCAGTTTCCAGATCGAGACACTGAGGTACGCAGGGCTTGTAGAAATGGCCAAGTTCCTATCTTGTTCTTCTTTTCCAGGGGTTGGAAATGGGGACCCATGATATAAAGGGTTAGTTATTCTATCTCTGGGCCTTTAAACTGTGGCCCAGATGTCTCCTAAGGCCACCAATCACCAAATATTTTGGGGAAGTGAGCTTCGTTCCCTTGGTTGTAATAAGGTCTCCTAAGGCTTTGACATTTCTAGACCAGGCTAGAGGGTCCTCTGTACAAAACACCAAAATTCCCACCATGACAGAGACCCAACATTGCAGCCATCTTCAGTTAGGTGAGCCTTTCAGTCAGAGGCCTACATTTAAACTCTCAAGTTATTTGACATAAACAAGTTTCCCTCTTATCAGATAGAAATAACATATCAAGAGTGGAGAGGCCCAACAGTTAAGAGCATTTGCTTCTCTTCCAGAAGACTCAAATTTGGTTCCCAGCACCCACATCCGGGGGCTCACAACCACTCCTGCTCGAGGGGATCTGATGCCCTCTTCTGGCCTCCACGGGCACCGATACACATGAAGCATACTCTCATACAGACACAGGCATGCACGTTAATTCAGAGCCAGGCGAATCTCATTTCCAGGCCAGCATGGTCTACAGAGCAATTTCCAGAATAGCCAGCGCTGCACAGAGAAGCCCTGTCTCAAACAAACAGAAAGAGCAAGTGGGAATTTAGTGCAAGGTCTGACACAGTTTGGGTCTCAATAAATACACCGATATGTTCTGTCTTTGCTTTGCCCTCTACTCCTAGCTGACTAGAACCAAGAGGAGAGGCAGTGCACCCTTGAGTCCCTGTTCCCTTTCCAGCTTCTTCTCTGTCCCAAAGGCCATTGTCCTTCTGGAAAATTAGGAAGCAGTGACAGGTTGAGACATACACCCTGACTGTAGAGCCAAGACTGGGACCTGATGGGGGCTCTGTCTGAGCTTCAGGAGACTGACCTTCCATAGCTCCTCGGGAATGTGGATTGTGGGGGGCTGTCCCCCAAGGCTTTGCCTGCTCTCTTCAGATTAAGACTAGCTGGTCAGTGGCTAAACTGGACCAGCTCACCCTCCCTACTGAAGCCTGTTTATCTCTGCCCACCCTCCGCCTGCACCTCCCGCTCCCCAATCGAGAACAACTAGGAAGAGGATTGAAAGGAGCGGGTTTATCACCCTGTGCTCTACCTGTTCCTGTTCGCCTACCCGACCCACACTGGAGGCTTAGCTCTGCCACCGCTCTGTTGGCAAGCCCTGAGCCAGGCCTCTTCCGTAAATCCCCTTTGAGGGGGCACTGTTCCGGGTGGTGTGGAGGAGGCGCCAGGATCGCCCTCACACCACAGAGGATTGTGCTTTTCAATTTCTTAGGAACTGCTGGGCTGAGACACTGATGGGGCCTCGTGTACTTGGCGGACACTTCTGGGGGCTCTAGGTAGACCCTCATGCTAGCTGCCTTATCCTCATCTCTCTAGGGGAACCAGCCCTTCTCATTCTGGGTCTTAACTTCTTCTATGATGACTAGGACTAGTCCAAAGTCAGTAAAGGGAGGAAAAGTAACCCTCAGCCAGTCAGAACTAGGACTCTACAGCGCTCTGCCTCAGTTTCCCTACCAGTATCTTTCCCAGCAGGGCCCTGCTACTCTGGGACTAGATCACCAGGGGACTTCATCTACCTGAATCACCTTTCCCCTTCCAGGGACCCTTGGTAGCTCAGAAGGGTGACCACACTCTTCCTGCTGTGACTCCCTGCATAAAAGGTTAATGAAAGACTTGGGAGAGCAGGTGTCCAGTCGCATAAAGGAGTGTCCGACTGCTTGACACTTGTCTTGGGTTGGTGGTTGCTAGCTCTGCACTCACAGAAGGTGGTCTGTGTACCACAGTGGGCTCCTCAGGATCCTTGGCGTCACGAGAGCTGGGTCTCTCCTAAAGGTCTTGAGTGGGAGGAAGGCACGTGGAAGACTTGCGGCAGAGAGACTGGAGACAAGCCTCTCATTGTGCCCCAGGCAAAACCGTGGGCAGCTGGTGCCAGCCCCCGACCCCTGACAGAGTGCCCACCTTCATTGCAGCTGGAGGTCACAGCAGATCTGGCTGAGCGGCGGCGGATCCGCTCTGCCATCCGGGAGCTGCAGCGGCAGGAGTTGGAGCGGGAAGAGGGGGCTCTGGCATCGAAGCGTTTCCGCGCCGAGCGGCAGGACAACAAGGAGAACTGGCTGCAGTGAGTGGCAGAGGGGGCTGGCTCTGCAAGCCCGGTGCGGTGCACCATGGGTCCGCTCGTGTGGAGGCAGGCGTGCCTGTTGCCTGTGAGCATTGGAATGCGGGGCTGCCTTTGCAAGCGCGGTGCGCCATGGGTCAGCTTGTGTGGAGGCAGGTGTGCCTGTTGCCTGTGAGCATTGGAATGCACAGGGCATTTGTGGGTGTCGGCCGGGTTCCAACTGTGGCTGTGAGTGTGGGTGGCATGCGGCATCCGCGCCTGTGTCCACGTGTGTATGTATCGATATGGTTTTCTCAGAGGTTCTTCGAAGGCAGCTCCGTGTCTCTCTGTGAAGGGTCAGGCCTCTGACCCTTTTCTTGAACTCGCATCCTCCAGACCGTGTCATGCAATGGTAGTCACACTCATAATGTCTCTGCAGCTCTCAGCAGCGGGAAGCTGAGCAGCAGGCTGCCCTCGCACGGCTGGCGGGGAGGCTGGAGTCCATGAATGATGTGGAGGAGCTGACCACACTGGTGAGGCTCAGGGCAGGCAAGGGCTAGGGGAAGGGTAGATGAAGACCTGGACTCCACAGTCTATCCCCTGTGGCCCGCCCACAGCTTCGGAGTGCCGGTGAGTACGAGGAACGCAAGCTGATCCGAGCTGCCATCCGACGTGTTCGAGCTCAGGAGATTGAGGGTAGGTGCCCTGGCCTAGACCCACCCTTGCCCTGCAAACTGCTGCCTACAGCGTCTCAGTCACCTCTTGACACTTGCCCCTGCAGCTGCCACGTTGGCTGGGAGACTGTGCAGTAGACTTCCTACTAGCGACTCCCGAGAGGAGAGCAGGAGGCAGGCAGCTCAGAGATTGGACCCTGGGAAGGTAAGGAGTGTGGGTGTGGAGGGAGGGTGAGCCAGTGTCTTGTGCCTCCTGATGTCGGTAGTGCAGGGCAGTGCCTGTGTTCCTTCCTTCGCTACACTGCCGTTTGGCTGGAGCTGGCCCTTGGCCAGAGTTGGAGGAAACCCTCGAGTTCATGTCTTATACTCTCAGGCAACTCCAATCGTATGCCTTGAACTCAGGTTTTGCTCTCAAAGCCAGCCTGTCTACACAGCTCAAGTTACTGTTCCTTTCCCATCACCACTCTTACAGATACATTGGCACCTCTCCAACTTACTACCCCTCCCCCTACCACCCCGCCCCACCCCACCCCACCCCACCCCACCCCACTCCCATGCTCAGCAGCCAGAAGGAGCTCCTAGAAATGCAAGTCTAGTACCAGGGCGCCTCCCCTGCTTAGACACATCCCATCCGGACAGCCCACATCCTTACCTCCCCAGGGCCTGCATGTCAGGCCCCTGCTGAATGGTGCTCAGTGTCATCTCTGTTCTTCAGGTAGTATAGAAGAGATGTCCAAACATACAGTTTCCACTGATGGCCAGCAGAGGATGCTAGCTGCCCAGCCTGCACAACTCGCCTTAGCCAGTCTGAGGCCAGATCTCTGCTCTAGATGTACTTTAGGAATAGGAGTCCCAGCTAGTTTCCTGTCATCACCAACCATTGACATTAGGAGCTGGTCATTGTCAAATCACCTTTGGCACTGACTAGCCTTCCTTCTGCAGGTGTGCCCTTAGGAAGTCGTGCCCAGCCCCTCTGCTTTGCACGACCTGCTCGGTCACCTTGGTCCTCCGTGGGTGGGGGAGGTACTCGGACTCAGAGAAGCCTTGGTTGCATCCCGTGGGTCCGCTGCAGGTACCAAAGCAAGAACAACAGAAACAGCAGACAGAAGTGCCAGAGCCAACCCCGACCCCAGCCCCAGCCCCCGAGGATGCCACCCAGGACGTGACCACAGTGACACTCTTGCTGAGGGCCCCGCCTGGGGGCACGCCCAGCTCGCCCACCTCACCTGAGAGTTCACCCACCACTGCTTCTCCTGAGCCTCTGCTAGAGCCTGCTGGAGCCCAGTGTCCTATTGCTGAGGCTCCGGACAGCTCTGAGCCACTTCCTCGACCTTCAGGCGCTCCCAGTCCTGAGCCCCCCATGTCACCAGCACCCCCCAGCTCTCAGGGGCAGATCATCAGCAAGGTGAGTTTGGTGAGAGGCGGGGATGCCAGGCAGGTGAGTTCCTTGGTCTGAGAGCCCCTGCTTATGTGGTGTCTCCTTTACAGCCCCTGCCTGACCCCACAGAGCCCTCGACCACCTTGGGGCCCGCTCGAGGCTCTTCTGACTCTAAGAGAGCAGGTGAGGGTCCCGCAAAGCTGCTCTAGGCCGCTGCTTTCCCCTGCCCCTGCCTCCCTTTCCCTGCCTGTTGGATGGGTCCTGATGCTTCAACAGCTCTGGCTTCCTCAGGTTCAGGCAGTCCCTGCCTCTCCCTGCCACTGCCTCTGAGGTATTCCCGCCCCTGCCACCCATGGCCAGAGGCCTCCTTACAGCCTTGAAAGGCAACAGGCCTCAGGCACATTCTTCTCCCCAATAAGGGAGTATACCCATCACCCAGCTGGATCTATGGGCAGTACTGGCTGGGGGTGGGGGGACTGTCCCCTAGTCCCATCAGTTAGGAGACTCTGGATACCTTCCTCTGGCCCAAACTTACCCCTGGCTCCTAAGAGTGCCCACGTCATCCTGGGTCAGTGCGGGGGTGGGGGGGCCTGAAGAGCTGTAGCTGAGTGGACAGCCCTCGGCAGTGGGTGTGCTGAACGTGGTAAGAGCACGGCAGAGGTGTTGAGGTAGATGTGACATGGACACCACCCCACCATCCACTTTCCCTTCTCTTCCCCCCCCCCCCCCCCCCCCCGTACGGCTGCCACCCACTCACCAACCTACCAGATCTGGCTGAACTGCAACCCTGCCAACGCTCCGTATCTGTGCTCAGTCCCAGACAGCCAACCCCAAATCGAGGTACTGCCCATGTTTGCCACCCCCAGGTTCTGGGCAGTCTCCACCCCACCTAGCCACTAACAGCCTTCTGGTCTCTTCCAGAGCTGGTCTCCCTCGCACGATCGTCCCAGTTCCAACGGGCTGGCTCCGTGAGAGACCGAGTCCGAAAGTTCACATCTGACTCTCCTGTGGCTGCCAAGCTCCAGGACGGTCCGCCCCGAGCAGCCCTCACTTCGCAGACCCCCAGGAGACTCCTGGGCTCTTCCTGCATCAGCACCACCCCTGCCTCCTCCTCCAGCAACTCCTCCTCTCGAGGTCCTAGTGATACTTCCTCCCACAAGAAGCAAAGAGAACTTGCTCATTCCCTGGCCCAGCTTCAGAGCTGCCCTCAAGAGGAGGGCCCTGGGGGGTGTGGCTTGGCTCCCAGGTCCCTTGAAAACAGAGCAAGGGGGCCCAAGCCCTGCTCAGAAGAGCCCAGTACCCCACTGCCTGTGGACATCGGCACTGGGGAGTCAGGGGGCAGTATGAAGACTACTACATTTACCATTGAGATCAAGGATGGCCGTGGCCAGGCCTCCGCAGGCCGGGTGCTGCTACCCACAGGCAACCAGAGAGCAGGTAGGCTTCTCACTGCCGGGGTAGAGTCCTTACAACCCCTCACCCCCAGTTCTGCATGTGAGACCAGTGCTACGGCCACCGTCCAGGGTGTCACTCAACCTTGACTGGCACTGCCCTCACTCCACCTGGCCCCAACAGCAGCCCTTGTCCCCAACCAGAATTGACACTGGGACTGCGGACGCCCCCGACCCTCCTCAGCACCAGCAGCGGGGGAAAGAGCACCATCACTCATGTCAGCAGCCCTGGGACTGTGACCCGGCTGGGCAGTGTCACTCATGTCACCACCTTCAGCCATGCTGCCCCCAGTAACCGCGGAAGCTGCAACTTTAAGGTGAGCCCATCTTCATTCCACCAGCTTCACCACCTCCAGAGAGGGCTTTCTCTGCTGGGCTTCTCCCCCGCTGTGCGCGCAAAGCATCCGAGGAGAAGCGTCGCTGCCGGTGGTCCACAGGTAGCTGGTGGCATGGCTAAGATGGAACCACCGTGTCACCCTAAGACATATCTGAAGGCATTCTTCCCATGTGCTGACCTTTTGTTGTTGTACCCTGGGTTGGCAATGATCTTAGTAGATAGCCACAGATGGACTTGAACTCAGTGATCCCCCTGCCTCCACCTCCTGAGTGCTGGCATTACAGGTGTGAGCCACCGTGCCTGGATCCATTTGCTCATCTCTGATCCTTGTATCTAAATCGATCAGTTCGTTCTTAAGGATCAAATGCGAAGACTGAGGCTTGGAGAAGGTGGTAAGGGCTTTCGCCGTCTTCTTCCTACAGCAGCCCTTATATCCATTTCCACCCAGCGCCAGACATCAGCTCCAACATGTAGATCAGATCACAGGCAAGCTCAGCCCAGTCCGTTAGGGGATTGTTGATTAGCATCTTCACTGCGGGGGTAGGGCAGAACCACTGAGGAAGACCGGCAGACAAGAGGGGCACCAGGCAAGCGAGGCATCAGCCTAGCAGGTGCCACGGGAACTGAATACGATGTGTTCCTTCTATTATTCATTCCCAAGCACAGTGTCCCTGGGAGCTGAGCTGGGGAAGAGATTCCTAGTGGGCTGCCCAGGTAATGCTGTGTATGCTGTATGAAAGACTGAACGGAACTTTGACTGAGGTGAGGTAGTCAGAAAGAGCTGCCTTTGGGTCTTCTGATGGGTGATAGGAAGAGAATGGGACCACAGCAGCCTTCTTGCCACAAAGCAGGACCCAATAGATTGGGATGGGTGTCAGATGAGGCTTTTGGGGTGAATGGAAGGTGTCAGGGAAAGCTGGCTCTGGCTAGCTGGGTGTTGGAGGCACACGCCTTTAATCCCAGCACTCTGGAGGCAGAGGCAGGCAAATCACTGAGTTTGAGACCAGCCTGGTCTACAAATCAAGTTCCAGGACAGCTAGGGCTGTTACACAAACCCTGTCTTAGAAAAAAAGCAGAGATAGACAGGAGGCCAGCAAACAGAAGTCTCCCAGCTAATATGCATGGTGTCTCAGTCCGTGGCCTGCTCCCTGCTTCCATTTTTCTACCTATGGGTCGTGGGGCTCTGGTCTTGGTAATCCTTGAGACGTGCAGCAGGCAGTCTGCCTGTTTGGGCAGGCTACCCATCCCCCTCCACCCCTCCATAGAGGAGCCCAGAATAGGTTTCTATTTGGGCAGTTGCTCCAGCTGGCTGGTGGCAGGCTGGGAGGCCAGCAGGGGCGGGGCAGGCTCACTGCCCTTGCCTTCGCCCTCAGACCAGCTGCAAAGACCGACGCTGTCAGTATAGGTAGCAGCCCCTGCTACTGCCCCACCATTGTACCCCAAAGAGTCCCCACTAGCAGAATGCCGGGAGTGCCAGGGCCCGGGCCTGAGATGGCTGTGGCCTCTGAGGAGCGTTTGAGCCAGGCACTACAGGAACTACAGGCAGTGGCTGAAGCGGGCCGGTCAGCGGTGACCCAGGCAGCCGAAGCAGCCCTAGCCGCAGTAGAGCCGGTGGCTCAGGCAGCTGAAGAGCTCCGAGCAGAGACAGCAGCTCTGAGCCGGCGGCTGGACACACTGAGCAGGCAGGTGGAGGTGCTGAGCCTGCGCCTGGGCGTTCCACTTGTGCCGGACCTGGAGTCTGAGCTAGAGCCCAGCGAGCTGTTGCTGGCCGCTGCCGACCCTGAGGCCCTCTTCCAGGCGGCTGAGGATGCCGGGGCCCCTGTGGCCCACCCGCCTGCCTTTAGCACCCGCCGCCGCCGCAGCTCCTCTGCAGGTCCCTCTCGCAGCAGCAGCCTTGTAAGTCAGCCTGAGGGAGGGACTTGATTTGAGCCCAGCTCTGCTGAGTGTCTGTAGATAGGCCAGCACTGTCTCAGCCTCAGTTTACCTCACTGTAGGACTAGGCACTAGTACTCTAAGACTGAGGCAAGAAGGTGCTAGGCTCTTACCCTGGCACCTGTCCTGCAGCTTCAGCTAGGCCAAGCCTCTCTAGAGCAGCTGCCACCTTGGCTCTGCCCACCCTCATGACAGACAGAGGCCCTGCTAGGAGGGGAGGGCTGTAGTGGCTGAGCTGGGCCTTAGCTTCAAGGGGCGAGGTGGGAGGGAGTCCCCCTGGGGGAGATGGCTCGGTGCTGGATGCTCCTTAGATGCTGGTTCCCAGCAAGGTGGGAAGAGAAAGGACGTGCTATGAAGCTTTAGAGGCATCTTGGCTTGGGGTAGCTCCTTGTTAGGAGCCCTTGGGACCTGGTCCAGCCCCTTGGCAATCAACACTTGGGATCTGTGCTGCCTGAGGGGAAAGCCAGAAATGAAACAAGAAAGAACTCATGTTCAGGAGTTAAACTGCTGCAGCTCAGCGCCCCCAGGTCCTATCACACTCACGGAGGGCCCAGCCTCAGTTTCCCCTATGTCTAACAGGGACAATAAAATCTCCAGTGCTTATCCAGGTATTTTCTACTGAATGGAAACCATTGTTACTCCTGCTCCAAATCTGGATTAGCCTGATTCTGGATATGTGGGATACTCTATACAAAGCTGCCGGTTCCGCTACAGCAGGCCTGAAACCAGCATGGCCAGCCTACATTTGCAGGCCTGGCAGGTTGTTGGTTATTTCCAGTGCTATGCCTGAAGCCCCAGGATCTAATCCACTCCCACCCAGGTTTCACCCACATCCCTGCATAAACCGTACACCCTCCTCACTCTCTGTAGATGGAGCCAGATCCAGCAGAGCCCCCCTCTGCCACGGTGGAAGCAGCGAATGGCACAGAGCAGACTCGAGTGGACAAAGCCCCAGAGGGGCGAAGCCCCCTGAGTGCTGAGGAGCTGACGGCCATTGAGGATGAAGGAGTCCTGGACAAGATGGTATGTTAGCT